GAGTTCACTTGTGGAAGGCTGATGTATATTTTCCATCATTCTTCATATAAGGGTGAACTGTAATTACCTGAATAATAACTAAACTTAGAAAGAATCTATCTAAAATAGGGAAAAAACAGGGTTAAAATAGTTCACATAATCCTGAAGTGTACCAGTACAGCTTGTCTCCAGGACAGCTCTCTCGTTGTTGTCAATGCCCCGAGTGTCCCTGTACTGACACAGGAACCCACAGCCCTGACAGATACAGGTGGCTCCTTCTTAGGCTGCTGAAGAGGTGAAATAAATGCTGCACATAGCGAGGCCTGAGCCTGAGGAAGTGCATGTTAAGGTACCTTGGCAACAGAGAGAAGCAAAGTCAGATCTGTTAGCTTTGTCTGAACACTCTCAGAAGTTGTGTGAGAAATGTGTGAAGTGGTGAACACAATGCTCATCTTTATAAAGACAAGAAATGAAGAAGAGATCCATTCTGGGAAGATACTAGAAAAAATGAAAATATAGATTATTCATAAAAGGTTGGAGATAGCTGAGCTACATTGCTTTGTATTTTTTGGCATGTTGGCTATTAATTTCTGTAACATGGCAAGAAGACTTACAAATAGAGAAGCAGTAGGTCACACAATATTTTTTAATTTTAATAATGTTATTGGCATTACAGCATTGACTCGTAAAATTTTCAAAAGTATATTAAAGTGAAACTATTTCTGGAAGAGTGAAAAACAACCTGGGCATAGGGAACTAACAAGGAAAACAAAACTAAGCAAAAAACCCCAAAACCACAGCTCAAGATTAGTTTTTAATAATTCACTATCAAACTCAAAAAATATAATCAGTAAGATTCTAGCTGGGTCCATTCTAGGAAAAGTAATGGTGCAGGTAATTAATGATTTGGATAAAGGAATAATCCTTCCACCTCATAGATAAAAATAAGCCCATGTAAACAATAAACTCATTGCATGATACATTAAATTCAGAATGCTTTTGATAAATAAGATAAATTATCTGTAGGAGAAAACACACTAAAATGCACTTGTGTTTACACGAGGTTCTAAGGGCAAATAACAGCTCATAAAAATGTGGCAGCCATTCTGCCAAAAGAGAGATAAGAGGGTTACCAGTCAATCACAAGTTATTCACAAATAGGTAGTGTTTCATCATATCAAGAATGCAAACTGCACATTAGGAAGAGAAACTGCTTTGATTGCATATTTGGTTGATGCATTAAGGAATACCTCCTATTATATTTCTGTCTAGCAACCAGTAACTGTGTCCTGTTCAAGCAAAACTGTTCCAAGAGAAGGCAGACCAACTGGAAAGAGTCCAGGGAAAAGCAGAGAAAATGGTCACTTGTCTTGGGAAAAAAGAAAAGCCACAAGAAAGAGAGATTGAAAGAACTGGGGTTACTCAGTTTAAAGAACAGAAGAACAACTAAACACAAGAAAACTATCATCTACATAAGTTACCTCTAGGGAGGTAAGGAGGGATTATATTTTTTTTATCTGTAGTGGATAAAGTGATGACTATGACAAACTATGTCACTGAAAATTATGCTATATCTTAAGAAAATCTTATTACCAATAAAGACAATAAGGTATTTTTTTATTTCCGAGGTAGAGTTAAATCTCTTTTGGAGCTTCAGAATGCACAAGATGAAGTCTTGAGGTCTTTTCCAGTCTCTCTTAAGTCTGTGGTTCATCCTGTTGTATAATTTAGATGCCCCATCTTACCTCCCTACAAAAACTACATTTATCAAAGTTTTCATGCTAAATTATACAAAGCTAGGCTATTATTTCAATATAGTGACTCTGAACCAACGAAGCCACCATGGAGCTTAACACAGCCCAGACTGGCACGATGTCACTTTTTTTTTCCTACTGTAAATCCCATCAGCTGTCATAAGAAATGTGAAGCTTTGGCAAAAGGACTGCTATCTTTCAGAAAGTAGTATATCTGATATTTGATGGCTGTACACTGCTGTTTCAGCTGTAAGAAATGTGTTCTTTCCTCAGGATTCCAATGGAGTCTGCTAGAGAAGTCTTCTTATCTGCTGCAGCCTGCCCTTCCATTGAGCTACTCCACAGACTCCTAACAAGACACAGAGGTCGTTTGCCTCAGGGGCCACTTATTACGATGAGAGATGAAAGACACAGAACTGAGTGAAATGAGACGTGGGCTGAAAATATGGAGACACTTTGTTAGAGGGCTGCAGAATCAGGTTGCTTCATCTAAGAATTTTTTCATGTGCTCATTCTTTGTATTAATCAAAATTCCAGATCACACAAGTTTAATAACTTGGCAGAAAAGTGCCTGCCTTCCACCAAGGATCCAATTCTGTCAAAGTACAGACATCCTTGGCCAAAGAACTGTTTCATATGGATGACCAGCTCACAGAAATTCTCATAAGGGATGTTTGTTGCAGTAGTGCATTACAGAAGTTCCAAGGACATGTGACTCCATTGCCAGCAAATACCAGTGCTGGTCATTACCTGTACTGCCTCTGCAATTCACTTATAGACACATGTTCAGGTGATTTTGTACAGAAAAAAAATCTCCTTGAAGCAGTTTTAATCTTGCAGAAAAATCACATTTCTCACATTTTATAAACTATTTGAACCAGGAAAATCCATTTGATACTCCTTCTGGACTTCTATTGAACTCTGCATTTGTCTAAAATAAACAAGATAATCTGTTTCTGCAAAACATATGTTTCAAACTCAGAGTAATATCCAGTATAGCATGAAATTCGTGCATACTCTATAATAAAATACTGGAGGAGTCATAAAACAAATTTTTGTTTCCATAAATTCATTAGCCTACGATTTTTCTCTGGGTAAACTTTTCAGATTTTGCTGAAGTAAACTTGTGGTGAAGGCTAGGTATTTCACCTCAAATAAGGCTGAGAAGAAAAGAACAAATTAACTAAATCATTCATTTATACTATCAGAGTTTAAAAACTTAATAAATCAGGGAAAAACTTTACATCTAAAAGCAATGTCTGACTCCTTGTTTGAGCAACGATGACCACATCCATCTAAACCCACAAGGCAACATTAGTGACTGAGTCCATGGTCCATTGAAATTAAGATGTAATAAAAAATTTTATAAGCTTTATAAACAGTCCAAAGTGCCAAGTTCCAGTATATGAAGCACTGGTTATCACAAGTGGAAAATCCAGTTCCCTCAAAGATAAAAGATATCAGTGATATATTTGGATGTGAGATAGACTTTTTTGACAGTGTGTAATTGTTTTATAATATCAGTGTTTTATAAGGCTTCAAAGATGAGAGATGTTAAACTATGCTAATTAGTAGCAACACTATTTAAAATTAAGTAATAAGTCGGATAAACTTCAGTTTTCTCACAACTTCTACTCTTTCAGAAAGAAAAGAAACAATAGCAGCATCTGGATTTTGAATAACTAATGCAGCCTTGGAAAAGCAATTCTGCATGAAACCTTGCAATGAAACTCTCTGAAAAGACCATCAATTTGAAATTAATGACATTTTCTTCCCCCTCAGATCCTACTTTAGCCTGGATACAGTAATACCAATAAGACATGGCTTTTAATGGCCCTTGTAACAGTTATTTAAGGAACAGGCCGTGGTACCGTGTTGTGCAGACGTGGCGAGCTGTGCCTGTGCCCAGCTGTGAGCCAGGGCTCACTCGCCATGGCAGAGCACAGTGAGGAATATCCACAGGAATGAGGAGGGAAGATGGTGGAAGCCCTTTGTGCAGTCACTACTCTGCAGCACTTTTAGAACTATCTCTTGCTTTGTCCACACAGGCGTGACTAAATGTACAAAGCATGTCTCTGTTACACATTTACATGCTTGCTCAGAAAATCTGCCAATACTGCTCACAAGAATTTCTAACTAGTGAAGCATTCCTTGTATATGTGGAGCCCAAAGAGGAAAAATCCCCCAAGGTGATCCTTCATTTCAGTTTTCTTTGCTTCAAACTTAGAACTACTTGTATCTTTCAAAAGGCCAAAATTAAAAAAAAAAAATATTTAAGAAGAGTGTTGAATAGAAGAAATAGAAGAATCTATTAATTTGTATTGTCAATTGGCAACCCCCATCCAAATGCTACAAGAGCTGGAAAAGAAAAAAAAGCAATTTACTGCTTGCAAAATAATGTAATAGAACTCATCCTACAGGTAAAAGTGCTCAGAAGTTTATGATTTTTATTGTGGAAAGATTTCCCAAGCAGCTTCAGGTTTTGTAAGAATCCAAAGGGAAAGAGTATTTTAGAAATAATATCAAAAATAAAATGACAGTAAAGAAACTCGTGAGCACTTCTGTATTTTCTGTATGCTTTTATGAATAAGAGTCCCTGCACTAGCAAAAAAATAGGTTCATACATCATACTGATAGATAAAAAAATCAGAAATTTTAAAGGGCAAAAAATCTCTTGCCTTAAGAGGCTTTTCTAAGGTTTTGAGGCCAAGAGTTTTAGATATCAATGAAGAAACTGAAGAAGTTACATAAGATTGTGTTCTGGTTTTTGATCAAAGCAGATCAAACAATACAGAAAATGTAGAATGTAATAACCCATGAAGTTCAAATCAGTCTATAAACAATATCAACATTCCTTCTTTAAACTACTACTTTAAATCTATTATCTAAAAAACATTTAGCTTTTTATGTGATTTGTGTATCTCCTTTACATGGATAGTTACAGATAATATTTCCCAGGTAATAAGACTTAATCCTGGATATCTGGCTTAAAATCTGCATTTATTCCACCCCCGCAATTAAGGCAACATAACAAAAAACTAACAATCCACATGAAAGTGTTAGCAACTGCAAAATTATTTCTGCATCTGAAGAGATCAGTTGAAAAACCAATTACCCTTGAGATCACTAAACCTAAATCAGAACTCCGAATCTTTTAAAACACAAACAGAAAACACAAAAGTTTTAATTTACTAACAAAACACTGAAGTAAAAAAAAAAAATAATCTTACTACTTTTCTGAGAGGAATAGATAATAAAAAGAAGTACCTTTACAACCTTTTCTGTCTCTGGAGCTTTCTGTGGGATACAGCTTTGTGCAACTCTGGCTGAGTTTGCTGCTTTCTGTTTACATAATGCCTTAGCTCAAATAAAAAGAAGGTGTATCCTTGAATACTATACTTTCAGCATGACACATTGTGGTCGTTCTTCAGCAAGGAAGTGTGAATTTTTTATTAGCAATATTTGACTTCTGCTTCAAAAGCAGCGTGGCAAGAGGGGTGAGGGAGGGGATTCAGCCCCTCTGCTCTGCTCAGGTGAGACCTCACCTGCAGGGCTGCATTCAACGCTGGACCCCCCAACTCAGAAAGGACATGAACCTATTGGACTAGTCCAGAGGAGAGCCACAAAGGTGACCAGAGGGCTGGAGCAGCTCTCCTGTGAAGACAGGCTGAGAGGGTTGGCATTATTCAGTGTGGAGAAGAGAAGGCTACGGGGAGACTGAATTTCAACCTTCCAGTATTTAAAGGGGCGCTGGAAAAATTATTTATAAGAAAGATGAGGACATACTTTTCAATAGGACCTGTAGTGATAGGACAAGGGGCAATGTCTTTTAACTGAAAGAAGGTATATTTAGACTAGACATAAGGAAGGTGATTTTTTTTATGAGGGTGGTGAGACACTAGTACAAGAAGCCCAGAAAATTTGTGCATGCCTTGTCTCTGGATGTGTTCAAGACCAGGTGGGATGAGGCTTTGAGCAACCTGATCTAGTGGAAGGTATCCCTGCCCATAGCAGGGTAGTTGGAACAAGATGATCATTAAGATCCCTTCCAACTCAAACCATTCTGATTCTATGAAAACAGGTGTTGAACTCTAACAAATATGTAAATAGAAGATGGGCCTATCCTATGCACAGCAACCTGTGTCTTGTGACAGCATCTTTGTCATGGGCAGGGGGGGATTGGAAAAGGTAAGGTGGACTTTGAGCCTTATTTATTTCCTACTGAAACTAACAACAACTTGAGCTAATGAAAGTTTTAAGTCTAATTTGACTTAGAGTAATTGGTATTAGAAAAATTTGGTATTAGAAAAAGAAGGGGAGGGGTGGGTTCTTAGTCTCATATTTTTATGAGAAGGATGGGACAACATGTTTGTGGTACAGGAAAGGAATAGGCAGATCATGTTGCAGATGTGGGGGAAATAAGCAAATGCTGTTATTTTTACAGAATAACTTGGTGCCAACTGAAGAGAATCTTTCAATCTTTTAAAACAACTCTTTGGTGGAGCTGTTTTTTGTTTCGTTTTTTTAATTTATTGCTGCTTCTACTTGTGTGGGAATAGAAGGTATAACAAAGAGAAAAAGTGCCCATATTTTCAACTGTGTTGCCTTGTGTTACCACATCCCACAGCTTCTGCAAATTTGGAAAATCCAGCTTGTCACTGACTTAGAGATTTTTTAGAGAGATAGAAAGCACCACAATACAGATGTAGTACCATGGAGACCTGTGCCCAGAACAATATTTGCACCTCCTGGTTCATGTCACGGATTTATGAGAGTTTCTTAGTGGAATTACTGAAAGCTTTAGTTTGGGGAAAACATTCCTAGATCTAATGGGGCAAGAGACTCTGGTTTTCTAGGCTAGTTTCTTGCAGAACTCTTGTCTGATTTAGTTACCACTTGAAACTAGATACATATGTTTGGACTAAAACACACTTCTCCAAAAAGCACCCAACCCTGATTAAAATGTTTTTAACAATAAGGAATCCATCTTCTGTTCTTCTGTCTTAACTCACAATCACTTTCCTAATAAAAATTGTCACTTTGTTCCCAGCTTGAATTTGTGAAAACTCAGTCACCAGCCCTGGAATCTTGTTAAACATTTCTCCAGCCAGATTGAACCAACTTCTGCCATCAAGCTTTGTTCTGCATAGTAGAATACAGAAAGGAATAGAAATAAACAGAGAGCATCTGGTAACTTTGAAATGTACTTTACATAAACACATTTCAGTTATTTTGGTTATTCTCATGGTCCTCCCCAGTCTTAAGTATCATCCATAAAGTACAAGCAGAACTACTGGAGCTGGTGCCAGGAAAGAACATGTATCAGTATCACAGAGGAAAGTTTCATTCAGTCAGTATTTGAAATGCAGTATTTTCCCAGAATACAACACACTGGAGCCTAGAGGAATGGATGCATGCTCTCTTGTCAAATGATGGCTTGTGGCAGGCATTAGTCTTTACAGTCTTGTATCCTTTACCTTCTAAAACAGTGACCTGCAATATAGTACATTTGATCTTGCTTTGAAAATATCAAATAAACGTAGTTTTAATTGTAAAAAAGTAACAAGTGAAAATCAAACTTGAACTTTTTCAGTCTGAACAACATTTGGGAAAGATTCTAAGTTAGAGATTCTTAAAACACTAAAAAGTTGTACAAGTTTACAGTAGGAGTAGCTATATGCCCTTTACCTCCATATGTGGATAAACATTAACGTACTTACATGGTTGTTCAGCCACATAATAATATCACTTACATGCAAACCACTGTATTATTTGTCCCAAGTAAACTGATGAAAATGGCTGATACATATTTAAATCTCCTGGAGATAAATTTCTAAGTGCAGGTGTGTCTCAAACAAACATTTGGTGGGGAAAAACCTTGGTCACAGTTAAATAGGGTGATCTTCAGCACTTGATCTAGGGATAAGATTTTCCATGTAAAAAATGAAATTACAATAATACCCACATATGTTACTGATATGTTTGAGTGTTGAGGCAAATAGCTGAATGATAGGGTCTCCTAATAAAATACCAGCAAGACCTCTGGAAGCAGATAGCAGGAATAGTGATCGGGCTGCATTCTGGGAATAAGCACTCTTAATCATTGGATGGTTGATATACCAGCTAGCTTTTCCATAACTCTAAACGATATAAAATTGATTATTTAAATAACCAATGCAAAATTAGGTTTGTTCTCATTATTTTATAATCAAACTCCTTCAAAAGTCTTGAAAAGAACCCAAACCAAAAACCCAAGAAGCCAAACACACACACGCACACATGACCCCAAAACAAAATTGTTGATGCTGTGATCTGAATTTGGAAGAGAAATTTTTTCTCTCTTGATGGGAGAAAGGAAGGAAAGTAACTTACACTTGTTACACATGAAAAAGCAATATTCAATAAAGAACATACAAAGCAAAGGAAAATATGCCTAGAAACCTTCATGATTCATCAGTTAATATGGCTCAGAAAAATAAAGCTCACAATTAGACTGTTGCCCTTTACACGCCAGTTATTCACAGTGCTCTTCTCACACCTTAATAACTGCAGTCTTACCTTGCTGTAATCAGTATATTCAGAAGTCTGACATATTACATCCACTGCCTACATCTCCTTTCAATCCTTCATTTCAATCACACCACACAGCAATTGCTTTTCTGTGTTCTGAAGAGCCAGTATATCTTTGCTGTGTTCATCAGAAGTGCTCTCTCAGCAGCAAGATTTCCAAGCTGGTACTGTCTTACTGATACTTCTGGAGTTGAAGAAAATGAAATCAATAGCATTCCTCTTAACTTAGATAATTTATTTTGTCAAAGGTATCGGATCAGTACAGCACAATCTACTGTTGGAAAGATTAATGTTCCATTTTATTTTTCTGCTTTAATTACTTCCATCCTTTAAAATCTTGAAAAAGAAATGTAAAAGCTGAAGCTGTTAGGCTTAAAGAAGAGAAGACATAGTCTTCAAGGAAAAACAGCTTTGCAAAGAAAAGGAAATAATCTCTTGTCTTTGGAAGGACTGAGAAATAATGTGTGTGTACCACAGTGAGAAACTTCAGTTAGATATTAGAAATAAATATTTTGTGATAATGTTGTTAAACTCTGGCAAGAGGCTGTCTAAGTAGGCTGCAGTTTCTCCGCCAGCTGGGGTTTTTGTGGCTGATCTGCATGTCTCCCTTCTCTACTCTCTGTCATCCTCACGATGTGGTTTTCTTGGTTCTCAATGCTTCCTCTCCTGAAAGACAAGAGCTGATGAGACCCAGACCTCTGCATGAGAGGGTCAGCCCTGGTTTTCACTTTCATGAGGGAGAAAAAGGGATTTTTTTTGCTGTTCTTAGCTCCAGCCTATGCAGCCACACAGTACAGCAGCCACAGAGCTGCCTCTGGAGCACCATCATTACCCTCTCTCGTAAAGATTTGTTCTGCCCTGGTAACCTAAAACAGAGGCCAAAATTCTGTTCTGTTGTGGCAAGTCCGTGCACACACCCACACACACGCTGGGGTTGCTGCCTTTTCATGCTTGACGGTGAGTACGCCACAGTGAGCACATCAGTGGCCGTGGACACACAAGAACAATGACTTTCTTCCTTGATGGAAACAACTGCTAGAAGAGTATTTCCAAAAGCCCAAAGCATACACATCAGGGTCCGAGAAAAAATAAGGGTTTAGTTTTTCCTGGTTTTATGAGCATTTCTCAGTCAAGTCAGAGTCATGATTTTGTCAAAGATCACCTGTTTGCATGCTAATATGATTATCTCATCACATACCTCTACAGATGTGGATATAATTTTCTACTTGACAAATGCATTTTCTTCACCTCTTACATAATACACACCTCCAGGTATGTATTATGTAAGAGGTGAAGAAAATGCATTTGTCAGCTAGGCAGAAAAATTGGGATGTGCAGGTTATGAATGCCAAGGAAAAAAAGGATAGAAATTCTGTAATTGCCTACAGACTCCACAGAAGGCTTAAGACTGAGCCCATCGCAGTGAGGTTATAAAATGGAATAATATGGTTTCTCTTGTTCTAAGAGATCAGACCACTCTGAAATTTTCTAGCCACCAGAGCAAATGGAGAGCTGCTACAGAAAAGTATGGATGCAGTTCAATTCTTAAAGTTCAGTCATCTGTGACTCAACTGCAATAATTAAAATAGTGCTGGCACCGGTCAGTACAATAACTGACAGTGCTCCTCTAGCTGTAACAGAAATGTAGCAATCAAGAATGGGGCTGTCAGAAGTTAGTGCAATCTTCTATTCCTTTATTTTACTTATTGAGTACTGATATAGTGTAGGTAAGCAGTCCTTGGATCCTAGCCTTCAGACCACAA